CCAAACACTGATATTCTCCACCATTTATCTCAAACCAACAACCAACTCCACCAAATATAATAATACAACCAAGCAATTATTCAGACCCACTGTCAAGAAAAGGTCAGTTAAGGTCACTAGGATTATAATATTATAATAACACACAAAATCAAATGGTAGCATAAGTATAACCGAGCAGTCAAAAATAAGGCACATGGGACTGGTTCCTACTATAAAAATAATAAGAACCACCACCGCTTAGACACCATGTCATGTAGGGGGGTAATGATTAGGGGAATATGGGGGTAAGCGGAGGGAGTCAGTAGGTAGGGGACAGGCGAGGTGGTAGGAGTGAGGTATGCGGAGGTAGGTAGGTAATGTGAGGTCACTGGTAACTACAACTTCACCTCTCATTACTCTACCCACCACTCCACACTGCTCACCCTCTCACTACTTTAACTAAACATAAATAAATGGAGAAAATAACGGGGACAGTGAATATTACTATTCTACTCAAACACAGTTTATTATTAAGTCTTTGTACAATAATATATTTGGGAACAGAGCATTATTATGGTTTAGATAAATGGGGTGGTACACATAAGCAGTGAGACAGGGAACACAATCAACTTGACCAAAATGAATGTAACTTACAATATAGTTCAGAGGGCAGTTCATCACAGGAACTAAGCCACAGGTCCCAAGACCTACACAGCACGAGTACTGCGCCAAGCCAGTACTCTGCCCAATGCCTCCAACAGTCTCCTCCAGAGACTTCAGCAGCCTTCTCCCGAGCCCTGCACCCCAGCAGCAGCTCCGCTCGAAGTCTCTGCTCAGGAGCTCTGCACCCCAGCAGCAGCTCCGCTCGAATCTCCTGATCATGCTCTTCCTTGGGCTTTTATGGTGGTCCAAGCACCCTCCACAACCACGTGTACGACCTGACGCCTAGGTCTGAGGCGTCAAGAACAAAAGACCTCAGATGTGGGCGTAGCTACAGACGTTTGCCAAGGCAAGGTGTGACCATATAATTGGTTAAATTAGGTCTCCCCAGAGACCTCACAAGCCCAGCTGGACTATATCACAGCATAACGGAGATAAAACACCTCAATTACTGGGAGCGCTTGAGGTTCCTAAACCTGTATTCCCTGGAACGCAGGCGGGAGAGATACATGATTATATACACCTGGAAAATCCTAGAGGGACTAGTACCGAACTTGCACACGAAAATCACTCACTACGAAAGCAAAAGACTTGGCAGACGATGCACCATCCCCCCAATGAAAAGCAGGGGTGTCACTAGCACGTTAAGAAACCATACAATAAGTGTCAGGGGCCCGAGACTGTTCAACTGCCTCGGAGGATACATAAGGGGGATTACCAACAGACCCCTGGAAGTCTTCAAGCTGGCACTGGACAAGCACCTAAAGTCGGTTCCTGACCAGCCGGGCTGTGGCTCGTACGTTGGTTTGCGTGCAGCCAGCAGCAACAGCCTGGTTGATCAGATTCTGATCCACCAGGAGGCGTGGTCACAGACCGGGCCGCGGGGGCGTTGACCCCCGAACTCTCTCCAGGTAAACTCCAGGTAATACCAATATATGCCTCCATAACAAGAGTCTACAGTTGTTTCCTTCTACCATCACTCCATGAACCCCTAGAAACAATGCTCTTATCACACAGGATTATTTTCCAGTCATATTCCATCATACAAAATAAACAATTTTATTTCTTTGCATAGGTTACAATGTGTGAATGCATATAAAACATATTGATAGGTACAAAGAAAGCCACTAACATGCCGGGGCATTTGGGGCAGACTAATCCTATTGCTTACACACTACCTGATACTAGACATAAAGAGTGGTAAATTTTAATTATACATTATTTTCCTTATTACAACAGGATAGTCTTCCCATTATACTTAACACATAATGGTATTCCTATAATACTACTTCACACAGTGGTTTACCTATCATACTTCATCACACAGGCTGGTTTACCTATGCTCCATCACACAGGAAGATATCCTGTCATACATCACACACACATACTAAGGTTTGGTAAAACCTTGGTAATAATAACCAGCAAATTTGTTTTGAAAGACACGTGAGCAAATACTAGGACGTATTAATTAAAATAATAATACATAATTGTTTAGCGCTTCTTTTATAATAATAATAATAATAATAATAATAATAATCTTACTTCTACAACTACATGTACAATGTATACAGGCCTAGATGACATCACTGACATACTATATAGAAAGCCCATTCTTATGCAGAGCATTTCGGTCACATTAGGTCAATTTTGTCCCCAGGATGCGACCCACACTAGTCGACTAACATCCAAGTACAATGTACCTGTTTTACTGTTAGGTGAATATGGACAGCAGGTGTCTTAAGGAAACACGTCTTAATGTTTCCACTCGTACCGGGGATCGAAACAGACTTCAATGTGTTAGAAAACGTTTTGGTCTTGGGACCTCGAAGTGAACAAGGTCCGAAACGTTTTCTAATAAATATCAAATACTTGCTCACTTGTCTTTCTAAACCGCACCAAGGTTTCTGCGTCCTTTAAGCCGGGTAGTTTTCCAGTCATACCCCATCATACAAAAATGGTTATCCTCTTCTCTCCGTCACACTGGAGGATTTTCTTCCCACATTTATACTACCATTGACTAGTGCTAAAGTTTTCAAGGTAATATAATGTCAGCCTGGGCTGCGAGAATAAGACTGAGTTTTTAGTGAGAATAGTGTAAGTTTATTTAGGAAAGGTACACATAAGTACAATTATCATAATAATAATAATAGTGTTTATTTGTACAAGTACAAGAAACAACTTATACAGGCCTAGCTGACATCAATGACATACAATATTGAAAGCTCCTCCCCTCAAGGAAGGTTCCTTGACGCTCGTGAGGGGCTCTTGATCTAGGGAATTGGATCTGTGCTCCAGTTCCCTGAATACCTTCCATCCCCTTCACAGGAGCTGTATAATCCTACGGGTTTAACGCTCCCCGTGATCATAATAATTCAAAGCTGGTTATGCAGAGCATAAAATGCGTGGTAAATGAATAACAGGAAAAGTGATAAATGGATCTATAACTTCCTAACAAACAGAACACAAGGTGATAGTAAACAGAGTAGAATCTGAGACGGCTACAGTGAAAATATCTTGTTCCAAAAGGCACAGTACTCACTACCATCGTGTTCTTCATCCTCATATCTAACATAGACAGAGATGTAAGCCATAGCATCGTGTCTTCCTTTGCGGATGACACCAGAATTGCCATGGCAGTGACCTCCATGGAAGACACTGCATAACTCCAAGCGGACATCAACCAAATCTTCAATGGGCCGCAGAAAACAATATAAAGTTCAATGAAGAGAAATTTCAACTACTCAGATATGGAAAACTTGAGGAAATTAAAACTGCATTATGATATAAAACAAATTCTAATTACACAATAGAGCGAAAAACTAATGTGAAGGACCTGGGAGTGATAATGTCAAAGGATCTCATCTTCAAAGGCCACAACAATGTATCTACCTCATCTGCTAGAAAAATGATAGGATGGATAACAAGAACTTCCAAAACTAGGGATGCCAAGCCCATGATGATTCTCTTCAAATCGCTTGTTCTGGAATACTGCAGTACACTAAGTGCCCCCTTCAAGACAAGCGAAATTGCTTACTTGGAGAATGTACAGCGAACGGAGGGCCCGGGTTCGATTCCCAGCAGGTGGAAACATTCCGACACGTTTCCTTACACCTGTTGTCCTGTTCACCTAGCAGCAAATAGGTACCTGGGTGTTAGTCGACTGGTGTGGGTCGCATCCCGGGAGACAAGATTGAGGACCCCAATGGAAATAAGTTAGTCCTCGATGACGCACTGACTTTCTTGGGTTATCCTGGGTGGCTAACCCTCCGGGGTTAAAAATCCGAACGAAATCTATCTTATCTTAACTTTCACGGCACACATAAGTACGATAAAGCACCTATATTACTGGGAACGGTTGAAGTTCCTTGATTTGTATTCCCTGGAATGCAAGCGAGAAAGATACATGATAATATACATTTTGAAAATCCTAGAGAGATTAGTACTAAACTTGCACACGAAAATCACTCCATACAAAAGCAAAAGAGACTGGGCAGGAGATGCAACATTCCCCCAAGGAAAAGCAGGGGTGCCACGAGTACATTGAGAGACAACACGGTAAGTGTCAGGGGCCCAAGACTTCAACTGCCTCCAAGCATACATAAGGGAGATTACCAATAGACCCCTATCTGTCCTCAAGAAGGAACTGGACAAGCACCTAAAGTCAGTACCTGATCAGCCGGGCTGTGGTTCGTACTTCGGTTTACGTGTGGCCAGCAGTAACAGCCTGGTTGATCAGACCCTGATCCATCAGGAGGCCTAGTCTCAGACCGGGCAGCGGCGTTGACCCCCGAAACTTTCTCCAGGTATATACACCGAGAGATGTGTATGTTTGTACATACACCGAAAGATGTATGTCTGTACATACACCGAGAGTTGTATATTACAGTTTATACCCTGACAGTTTACCTGGAGAGGGTTTCGGGGGATCAACGCCCCCGCGGCCCGGTCTGAGACCAGGCTTCATGCTTGCTATTATTATTATAATCATGGGGAATGCTAAACCCATAGGATTATATCACCAGCATCAAGGAACCTCCCTTGAGGGGCTGAGAGCTTATTATAATCCCTTACTCCAGGATGCAACCCACACCGGTCGATTAACACCCAGGTACGTACTTGCTGCAAATATGCCCTAATGTTTCCACCCATACCAGTATCGAACCACGGACATCAATGTGTGACCTGAGTGCGCTACCAACCGAGCCAGGATTATCCCCCCAAAAGTCATTGTGCATGAGTGTTATTATTATTATTATCATAGTAGATACAAGCGCTAAACCCATATGGGTCATAGATCGAAGATGTGCAGAGGTAGGAGGAGGAGGAGCCAGGAGGACCAGCTATAAATGTAAGGTGAGAGTGGTGAGTCGAGTTAGTGTGTGGCCGCCATGCTAGTGTTGTGGCTGTGTCTTTTATACGGTGCTGCTGCCGATCCACAGCACACTCCAGGTATCAGTTTATACTCGCATGTACTCATGATAACCTGTTTTTACGTTCTTGTTAAGAGTCCTTTTGTGCTTCCTTATTCTAGTGTACAGTCCACATGATGGATGTGTGAAGCATAATAAAAAGTAGCCGCTTTGGCTACTTCATTGTGTATTTTGGTGGATATCTTTCAATATTACTGAATATTTTTGAATGTAGGTTATCAGTGTGTCGTACTTTAGATTGCATGACCATGCATGTAGCGTAATTTTGTAAAATGACACAAAGAAACTCTGTCTTGCTGGAACTTACTGAGCCTGAACCAGTGTCAGTGTGCAAAAATATTGTCTTGTAGCAAGTGTTGAGTGAAAGGTATCTGTCTGTATAGTGACTGGAAAGGTATGGTGAATACCGACAGTATGTAGATAACGATATATGTGTAGTTCAAGGCATTTGTTAAGGGAACGTTTCGCCACAATTGGGTTCTTCAGTCCTACTAGGACTAAAAATGTTCATTTGGTAAAACCTTACCTTCATAAATGTCTTGAACCGTGCATACTATTTTTAAGCAATAATGAAAATATAAAAACACTATTCATTATTAATAAAGTTGAGCGCAGGACATTAATACGATAAAAAAAATGTATCTGGAAATGCGATTTATAAGCGCTCACCTTGACACTAGGAATATTTTGACCATTTATATAATACGATGTGCATTTTGTGTCTCGAGCTGACCTACTGCTGCTATTTCACAGTTAGACATTGGTGTCAACTGTTAGTTTACAGTAAACAACGCTTCACAGATATAGTTTAGTGTAGGCACCACGGTTATAGTTTACTGTAAACAACACTTCACAGAAATTGATGTCAACTATCAGCTAACTGTAGACAACACTTCACAGTTATAGTTTATTGTAAACAACACTTCACAGATACAGTTTACTGTAAACAACGGCTTCAGTTAGATATAACTTAGTTTGGTTTAGAAAGACACGTAAGCAAACACTATAACATATTTATTAGAAAACGTTTCGGTCCTGGGACCTTGATCGTGATCAAGGTCCCAGGACCGAAACGTTTTCTAATAAATATGTTATAGTGTTTGCTTACGTGTCTTTCTAAATCAACTTGTCGGTATTTATTACCAAGGTTTATACCATAACTTAGTTTAAACATTACAGTTAAATACGCTAACTGTAAACACTAGTTAGATACAGCTAATTAATTAAGTTTATTCAGGTATACACAAATACAGTTACATAGAATTATCATACATAGCAGCATATGTGTAGAGAACCTAGGATAACCCAAAAAAGTCAGACAGAGTGACTTATTTCCATTGGGGTCCTCTTACCTTATTATTATAATATAAAGGTTATAATATTTTCTTATTATTCTACAATGAAGATAACATCTTATTATCATACTAAAAAGACTATATACTACACCAAGGTCATTAAGACTATCTACAATACAAGGGTCATTACTAGGAATATGGTAAAATTTACACGTATGTTAGCTAAAAAATAGAAAATCCTTCCCCTCCCTTTCAGTAGCTACATTCATCAGACACCTTTTGGCACTCTTCTTGAACTGGTTCATGCTAAGACTGGCTTTGACATGTGCGACATCTGTTTGGGGTTACCCCTTTATTGGTATAGTATGTTTGAAACTTATCAGAGTCTGTGTTAAAAGTATTTGACGCAGCTGGTAGTTTACTTACTAGTGTTGATGCAACAGATGTGTAGTAGGAATTAAAGCCATTTGCCACCTTAGATGTTTCGTGGCATACCTCATTATCGATAGTGAGTACTATGTTAGACCTATCTACTGGCTTATGGCTATACCCCAACTGTTTTAGTTGTTGCCAGAGCTTTCTGGGGTTATACTTATACTCTTTAATTTTTGAACAATAGTGCTTTGCCTTTGTTCCTTTTATAAGCCTCTGTACTTTGTTCCTCACCCTTTGGAATTCATTTAGTGCTGCAATATCCTGTCTGCTTTAAATCTTTTTAGCAGCTGGTCTCTGAATTTCATATTATCTAATATCTCAGTAGTCATCCAGGGTTCAGTTCTTCGTTTAATCCTAACCTCTTAACTGGTGCAATATTATCAAGGATGGTAGTGAACATTGTTTTGAATTTTTCCCAGGCATCGTTTACGTCCGTGCAACTTGTTATCTCTGTCCAGTCACAATTGTGTAGCCTATTTACCAGTGTTTCTTTACTGTAGTTTCTAGTTGACCTCATTTTTATTGTCCTGTGTAGGTCTATCCTATCCCTAGTGATTTTCCTGGTGCAGTAAATGATGAAATGATCACTAAGGCCTGTGGTAATGACGCCTGACTGACTGATGTTCTCAGAGCGGTTACAAAGTACGTGGTCAATTAGGGTGGCTGTATTAATTAGTTGAGTGTAACTATTTAAACCTAGAATTTGCTTATACCTTTTGCATAGCCCGTTATTTTGCTGCTGAAAACAGATATTGAAGTCGCCCAGTATTATTGTCTCGCAATTGTTTTCAAGTCCGGACAATACTCTGGAAAAGTCTTCTAAGAACTGGTCCTGGGTGGGAAGGCGGTAACTAGTTCCTACTAAGATGGGTTTGGTCTTGGGAAGCAGCACTTCGAACCATAGAATCTCCAGTTTAATGTTATTTAAATCAGGTCTTGGGTTGTAAGCTAAGTCATTTCTAATGTAGCACATACTCCACCACCCTTTCTGTTCCTATCTAAGCGTTTTATATTGTAACCTTCTATTTTGACCTCGTCGTCAGTCACCGTATCATCCAACCAGGATTCAGAGATGGTTATAACTGCCGCCCTAATTTTGTTAGCTAGAATCCTAATCTCTGTCAATTTAGGAAGAAGTGATCTTGCGTTGACATGAATAAAGTGAAGGCCTGTTTTCATAAAACAATTATAATCATCAGTATATGGCAATGGGTCATTTGTATTAAAATTAGGTAAATCAATGTCATCATTGTTAAAGGGTAACTGTGCCAAAGTGCATTTGTTACACACAAAATGAATTCTGGCACCGTTGCTATAATTATACATACATCCATCATGCACCCACCCCTTACACATTTTACATAAGGTGCCTTTTCTGTTTTTCATGCGTACTTTAGTACAGTGTATGCACCTGTTTGCAAATACTAATATAGAGCTAACTGTAAACACTATATTTAGATATAGCTAACTGTAAACATTAGTTAGATCCATGGCTGAAGGCAGCCAGGGATCTATTGGTAATTCACCATATGCTTGGTGGAAAGCTGTTGAACAGTCTTGGGCCCCGGATAATCATTACCTGGAGTTTACCTGGAGAGAGTTCCGGGGGTCAACGCCCCCGCGGCCCGGTCTGTGACCAGGCCTCCTGGTGGATCAGAGCCTGATCAACCAGGCTGTTGCTGCTGGCTGCACGCAAACCAACGTACGAGCCACAGCCCGGCTGGTCAGGAACCAACTTTAGGTGCTTGTCCAGTGCCAGCTTGAAGACTGCCAGGGGTCTGTTGGTAATCCCCCTTATGTATGCTGGGAGGCAGTTGAACAGTCTCGGGCCCCTGACACTTATTGTATGGTCTCTTAACGTGCTAGTGACACCCCTGCTTTTCATTGGGGGGATGTTGCATCGTCTGCCAACTCTTTTGTTTTCGTAGTGAGTGATTTTTGTGTGCAAGTTCGGTACTAGTCCCTCTAGGATTTTCCAGGTGTATATAATCATGTATCTCTCCCGCCTGCGTTCCAGGGAATACAGGTTCAGGAACCTCAAGCCCTCCCAGTAATTGAGGTGTTTTATCTCCGTTATGCGCGCCGTGAAGGTTCTCTGTACATTTTCTAGGTCAGCAATTTCACCTGCCTTGAAAGGTGCTGTTAGTGTGCAGCAATATTCCAGCCTAGATAGAACAAGTGACCTGAAGAGTGTCATCATGGGCTTGGCCTCCCTAGTTTTGAAGGTTCTGGAGTTTACCTGGAGTTTACCTGGAGAGAGTTCCGGGGGTCAACGCCCCCGCGGCCCGGTCTGTGACCAGGCCTCCTGGTGGATCAGAGCCTGATCAACCAGGCTGTTGCTGCTGGCTGCACGCAAACCATCCTGTCATTTTTCTAGCAGATGCGATTGATACAATGTTATGGTCCTTGAAGGTGAGATCCTCCGACATGATCACTCCCATTGTGCTCCCTCTTAGTGTATTCATGGCGTCCCTGCTTTTTAACACATCACCATGATACTCGCCTCTAACATTCCTCCAGCACACCCACATCCAACCTACTCACCACCAGCATACACATCTACAACACAGTAACGTCCAACGTACCTACCTGGAACCTAACACTCCTACACAGTACACACGAAGTGGGGAGAGGAGAGACAGTTTTTAATTTCTTATACAGTAAAAATGTGTACATACATTGTAATGTTGTTTGAGTCTATATGACAAATTATTATTATTATTATTATTATTATTATTATTATTATTGTCATCATCATCATCAAAATGAAGCGCTAAACCTATTAGGGTCATTATATGACAAATGGGAACAAAAGCTAGCTATATTTTCCTGTTGTATTCCATCACTCAGGATGGATGTTGTACATAAGGTCAAAAAAGCTGGGGTGCGTCAAACCTGTAAGGGGTCATACAGCAACCGGGGGAATGGGAAACAATCAGGATCCATCCAGGGAAAGGGAGAATAGGGCCAATTCCTTGGATTAAGAGCCACTCACGGCACCAAGGCACCTTCTTTAAGTGGTGTGGGTTCAGTAAGTTTATTCACGTACAAGTACACATAAATAGTTACACAAATTACTGTACATAGCCGCATATGTGTAGATTACCTAGGATAACCCAAAACGTCAGTGACACATTTCCATTGGTAACAATGGTAACTTCAAGGATTTCGTACCGGCAAGCCTAAATTACTGTTATTTGGAGATTACGTCTTGCCCAGGCCAGGGATTGAACCCGGATCCTTTTGGTGTGAGGGGAAATCGTTACCACTAAACCGAAAGTGCTTTACC